GCAAGTCTGATGTCTTTAGTTTTGGGGTGGTTCTTCTTGAGCTCATGAGTGGTCGGCAGCCTATCCATAAATCCACCAGCAAGGAAGAAAGCCTAGTCATATGGGTATCGCATATCATACTTACGAAGTTAATATTGAATTTTTCATTTTTCATCTTGTGAAGATCTTCCATACCTAATTGTTTGCCTATGCTATAATATTAAATTCTCAGACTTGAACTTCTGACAGTTACCAATCATCTTGTCTCCTACATTTTTTTCGTTGCATCTGATTTTCATCTTACAATCTGCCTGGGCTTCAGTATTTAATTCATTCTATATTTTGCTTGTGAGTTCCGCTAAAATATATGTGGACACTCTAATATTGATATAGCATGTATTTTTGTTCCGTTCCAGGCTACACCTCGCTTGCAAGATAGTAGGCGAGTAATAACAGAGTTGGCGGATCCACAGTTGAAGGGAAACTTCCCTGAAGAAGAGGTGCAGATAATGGCGTACTTAGCCAAGGAGTGTCTGCTGTTGGATCCTGATGCTAGGCCAACTATGAGTGAAGTTGTTCAAATCCTTTCAACTATATCACCCGATAAACCTAGGAGGAGAATAAACATTCCAGTGAGCCTTTTTCAGGTGAACTCATTTTCTACGAACTCTTCATTTCTTAGTATTCTTTCTTCTCAATTTGTTCTTGAGCTAGATATATAATCATCTTTTAGAGTGAGAACTCAACCATATCCTCGTGACCTTATTATTCCTCCTTTTTGACATGTACGAACTGTTCAGGATCCTCAGGATGCAGAAAATAAAATGCAAGCTCCATCTAGTAAGTCTTCGGATCAAAATTCATTGCCATTAGGTATTAACCAAAATCTTATTGTTGAGAACAAAAAGGAAGGAGCAGAAACAGTTTCAGCTTCTATGGAGAGAGTGATCCTCTTGACTTCTAAAATAGAGGGTTGGCATGGATCAGATGATGAAACGGTAGACCTTACTGAGCCTCGGTTTGAATCATTCTGCCTGACAAACAGCAATTCTCTTTGAAAATTTACACCTTCCAATGGGACATCTTACAGAAAGCGACTTGGTTTTGACTTTTAAGAACTTCTTCATCTTAATTTTTCCACGCTTATAAAAGAAGGATAGCGCGTAGCGGTGTGCTGTTAGGGAAGCGCAGAAATATATTTATGGTTTTCTTGTGTTGTACAGAAAAGCATAGGAGATTCCGATTCTGCTTTATTTGGAGAGGAATCGGAGGAGATGCCTCATACAAGCACAGCAAAGGTTTATAGTTTGATTTTGGTCATAGGAACTTGTATATTGAAATGATGTATTTGTTTTGATAGAAGAAGGAATGAGATTCGGGAGGACACCGCATCCCCAAATCAGAAAATGCGACGAGGTTCTCACAACTTTTTTTGTCATATCATATGATCCAGTTTGGTGGTGAGAACCCAAAAAAAAAAAAAAAAGAATCAGAAATAATCTTTTCATGACAAATATTCATAGGAACCAAGAAGGCACTAAAAATTGCAATACTTCCTTCAGTAACACAATTTTGGTTCCCGTAAAGTAAACGAAAAAAATGTGGTGATTTTGTCAGACACGAAATGAATTGGAGATCGAGACTCTGCACCACAAACCTTCATGTAGATGTCATTATGGGGTTGGAGAGATTTTTCCTCCAAAAAGATTTATTTATAAATATGTTTTGTGAAATTTAAAAATTATATTAAGTTTTTTAAAACTTAAGTGTAATTTAAAATGTGTAAAGATGATAATGTCCTTATTAAAAATACAGCACATCAATCATGTAATTTACAATTATTTTGTAAAAATTTATAATTATCATTTCAATTTGTATTCAATTATAACATTACATATTCAATAGTTAAATTGATTATGCATTATAAATTTAATATTAATTGTATACAATTATCTCACTATTAATTTATAACTATCACTCTAATATTTTACTATTATAATTTTATATATCTAACAATTCAATAAATCATGTGTTACTAATAAAGTTTTGGCTAAAATATACTTTTAGCCCTTTAATTTTATATAAGATTCAATTTGGTTAGTTAATTTTGTAAAGTATTTTTTTAGTTTTTTAATTTTAATATTGTTAGTTTTAAATAATTATTTTTTGTATCAATCATTATTATTTTAAAAATTAAACATAATATATCAACATTTGATAATATTTCATCAATATTTAAAAATTTAATGTAAGAATTTGTTGGGATAAAACTAATAGTATTAGGGTTAAATGATTAAAAAAATATTTTATAATATTGAGGGATTAAATAAAATATTGTGTAAAGTTAAAAGATTAGATATATACTTTAACCTAAAGTTTTAATTGTTTACAATTACCTCATAAGTAATTTACAACCGCCACTTAAATATTTTATAACTGTAATTTTATATATTTAAGAGTAAAACTGATGATGCATTACTAACAAAATTTAACAATAATTATTTATAATTATTTCATCAATAATTTATAACTATCATTTTGACTATTTATAATATAACTTCACATATTCAATCATTAAATTAATCATGTATTACAAAGACAGTATTATTTTTGCACCTTAATTTTAAATTACACTAAAGTTCTAAGGGACTTAGCTATAATTTTTAAATTTTGTGAGACTTCTTTATAAATAAATCTACTCCATAAAACCATATGCAATTTCTCCTTTTTTCTAATCACCAGCAATGCCTCTTCTATGTTAAAGTATAAGCAAATTTTAACTATTTTACCCGAAGCAAGAAAGTTGGGTAATCAGATTAAATTATTTAAGCTAAAATACCCTTATTATTAATCATTTATGCTTAACTTTATTTCTAACTTAGTGGTACTTATTTAATATAGAGCTTTTAATGGGGGGAAGATTTGACTATTTGCATATGAAACATGTTAGTTTTTATTAAAAAAAGGAATCATGCGCAAGATTTGCTTCTACCAAAATGGTGAGGGAGTATTACTTTTATGTTATCAATAATGTGGTTTCTGATACATTTGTTATTTTTAATGACATTGTAAATGACTTTAAAGGCTAAAACTATTATTTTTATAAATTATATCATTAAATATTTTCAAATAAAATCTCCAAGAACCGTCATTATTATTATTTATCAAGAAACCATATTAAAATTTACGTTGTTAATTACTGCTATTATCAAGATGCAAAACATTTTACTATGAATTTTATATTATATACATATAAACAAATATCACGTTGAGTTTGAGACAATTTGACCTCAATACGGAAAAAAAAATTATTTATCCATATACTATGCTTTCTAAAATATTTTTCTAAATGCTACAAATTTGAGGCTTAGTTTATATCAGATTGAGATTCAATTTTTTTTTTTAACATATGGAAGTATAGAACTTGGCCACAATCAAATCAAGTTCTGTACTCATAATTATTAAAAAAAATCTATACCTATTTTAGGATAGCCTATCAATTTTTCCCTATTTCCTACTTTCTCTCTCCCTTTTGTGTGTGTGATTCATATATATATATATATATATATATATTGGTGTGTTGTGTATAATATGTAGTGGTGTGGTTTTTTTTTCTTTAACATATAAGTGGGGATTTGTTTTATATAATATAAATAATATAATAAATTTATAATTGTAATTATCTATATGAAAAAATATGAAATACCTTAAAGAAGATATCACATTAAAAATGAAAATCTTTGTATACAATAACAACACACAAATACATGGGCTTGTCTTCAGTGTATAGGAATTGAGTGATTAAAAAAAAAGGTAGATCATATATATTTAATTTGAATAATTTAATTTAATTTTAAATTTTTTATAATATTTATAAATTAACTATCTAAATGAATTGTGAAATGTCTAGACTCAATATTAAATTGCAAAATTATTACAAAATTAAATTGAAATTTTTTAAAATTATTACAAAATTAATATTAAATCTAGACATTTCAAAATACTTTTAGATAATTAATTATAAAATTATAAAAAAATTTAAAATTTAATTTAATTTTTTAAATTAAATATGTAGGATCCACCAATTTTTTTTAATCAATTAATTTTTATACATTGAAGACAAATCCATATAGTTATGTGTTATTGTTGTATACAAAGATTTTCATTTTAAATGTGATATCTTCTTTAAGGTATTTCATAATTTTTCATATAGACAATTACAATTATAAATTTATTATATTATTTATATTATATATAACAAAACCTCCTTATATGTTGAAGTTAAAAAAACCACACCACCACATATTATACACAACACACTAATATGTATATGACTCATGCACATAAAGAGGGAGAGAGAAAGTAGAAAGTCAGAGAGAGATACTTAAAAATTAAAATGATAAGCTATCATAAGTTAGATGTAGACTTTTTTTTTTTTGTAATTATGAGTATAAAACTCGGCTTGATTGTAGCCAAGTTCTATACTTCTATATGTTAAAAAAAAAAATTGAATCTCAATCTAATATAAATCAAGTCTTTATACCATATGAAAAATATGTTTAAAAGTATAGTGTATGGGAAAACAATTTTTTTTTTTGTAGCATGGAGGTCAAATTGCCTTGAATTTCAATTTTTTTATCTATATGATTATATAAGTGATTAAATACAGGGACAGATACACTTAATTATCTATAATATATTTTATTTTACTATTTATTTAATTTAATTTCTCCTCACAACCCATCGACCATCGGGTTGAATTTTAAGTTTTACATTGATTAGTAACTATTTATAATTTATAATTTACAATTACAAATTACAATTTATGATTTTGTGTTTGGTTTTGAATTAAGAACAAAATTGTAATTAAAATTGAAAATAAAAAAATATAATATCTTTTTTTGGTAAAAAATAAAAAAATATAATATCTTGATGAAAAGATTCTAACAAGAATATAAATAAAAAAATAAACAGAACCTTTTTTTTTTTTTTCTGGGCTGAAAAGCAGTACAGGAAATTGCACTGATTTGGTTCCCTTGTATTTGCGTCGTGTTAAGCAGGGCTCACTGTGTGCCGGACACAGTATTCGCTACTTTTAGCAACCGAGAAGGTTCGTCATTGGGAATGGCCGGAAAAGCTGCTGCAACTTCGACGACCTACTCGCCGTCTTCGACCACCGAGAAAACCAAGGCTCCTATTTTCAATGAAGATTGGGTCCGACCCGATGGCCGTGGCTTTCACCAGTGCAGGCCCGCTTGTAAGCCACTGAAACATTTCTGTATATTTGATTTTTGTGTGTTAGCGTCCTTGTAATGATTTGTTCTTTATTAGGTTTTCTCTGTGGGCTTGTAAGCTTGATCGTGATATATTGAATGCGGTTTTTAAGCTCCTGCTCTATGCAAAGTTGATAAGATCAAATTGATTCACCGGAATATTTCATCGGTTTTCCTATTCCTCTTTTACATTATAAAAAATATAATATGTGTGACTCGTGTAACATTTTCATTCTCAATGTGCTGGATTAAAAAAAAGTCATGCCATGCGGCGCGTCTGCGGCGTTAATTAGGTTCGAATGCACTATAAGTGTTTAAGCTTGCTTTTTATTGCTTGGAGACTTTAAAGTTGGCTCATTTTAAAGTGAATTTACTAGAGTACATTTTCTGGCATCATTGTGGGAGTCAAAGTATATGTTAAAGATGCATATATCATGCATGTACTTGATTTTTCCCGGCAGATGTTTTTGATGTTTGTGCTAACTGAATCAGGAAACTTGTGGCTCGGAGTATTCAATACATACTTTCTTAAAAAAAGTTTATTGCTATATTTTTACTAGTTGTTTTCAGCTTCTGCGGTTATTGATTCCTTAAAATTCAAAGTCGTTTTAGTTACTCCAAGTTGTGTGGGTGCAGACGCCTTTTCATCCTGAGACGGCATTTTAATTCAATTGTACACGGTCCTTTTATCTAGTCTTTGGTATATTAAGCTTAAGCAGTTAAGCGTTATTCATAACTTTGCAAAGTTTCACTAAGATAAGGTTTCTGTATGAGTAAGTTTATGATGATCGTTAATGTAGAACTACATCTACACCAAGTTATTGTTAATTACGAGGTTCCAGTAAGCTTCATTTATTAGGCATTTCTAGCTCAGTGCATGATGAACTACTAGTAATTGAGATAAAATGTTGAGGTGCATGTTGATCAAAAATTTTAAAATTACTCATTATAAGACTTATTATTAAATAAATGCATTACTTTCATTTTATCATTATCAGGGTGAATTTCATGAATGTTAGGCTTAAATGTTTCTATTTAAAACTCTTCTCAAGTTGTAACGATTCATTGTTTGAATTAGATTATAATTGAACTTTTGGGATTAGGGCATTTAAGTTTGAAGTTGACAGAATGTTTATAGTGGATATATCCTCCATTTTTGCTCTAAAATCTTTTTGCTGCTCCAAAATCTTTATCTCAGTGGTCTTTTGGTTAAAAAAATTTATTAAGGAGAATTTTTTTTTTTGTTGGTGGTTCAGTTTTCAGAACTGGTGCTGTGAATGCTGCCTCTGGATCTGCTTATGCAGAGTTTGGGAGTACCAAGGTCATTGTATCCGTGTAAGTGAATCTTTCACTTTACATATTAGTGACTTATTATACCAATTCGCTACTGCTTGTGCTTTCCAGCTAATGTAAATATATTATTTGTGTTCTTCAATATAGGTTTGGGCCAAGAGAGAGTAAGAAGGCCATGATGTACAGTGACATAGGGCGTCTAAATTGCAATGTAAGCTTTACAACATTTGCAACTCCAATTCGTGGCCAGGTATATAACATAATTTTAGATTTTAATTCTTCTATTTTGGCTTTCTCTTTGCTATCTTGAGTGGAAATTAATATTCAAACATATCAAGCTAGGGATTGGACAATAAAGAGTACACTGCGATGCTTCATAAAGCTTTGGAGGGTTCAATAATGTTGGAAACTTTTCCCAAGACCACCGTGGATGTTTTTGCATTGGTACTGGAATCTGGTGGCAGTAAGTTTGCAGTTTATAATGGTGTTTCTACATGATACATTGGTTTACCTTGGTGTCAGTCATTTATGTATTGCCTCAGCCAATCTTTGTTGACTTCCATAAATGTGAAAACATTTTTCTTTGATTGAGTCACTTGTATAGACTTTGATAACATATTGAAAGCAGAGGTTATTTTGTGTAATTTCTTTGTAGTTGCTTGTAACTTGTGTGAGAACCAGCTCTTCATTATGTTTTTATTTTCTTTTGCAATGTGTTTTATAAGTTATGAGGAGCAATTTTTTATAAACTTGGATCAGATGGAGAAGCAATGTAATCAATATCATCAGGCAAATTTTTGTTCCATTTGATTTGATATTATTTTACTATTCTCTAAGCTTCAAACGGCCCATAATCTTGTACTTTCTAGCAGTAGTAATGTTGTTGGGCTTGCGGCAGGTGATCTCCCAGTTGTCATATCATGTGCTAGCCTTGCCCTAGCAGATGCTGGAGTAATGATGTATGACCTTGTTGCCTCAGTTTCTGTGGTATGGATCTCGCTCATATATGCTACTTTCTCCAATCTGTGCTTGTTCTGTTGGGTGCCTAAGCTGTTTCATCTCTCATTTAAATTTTTCCCCATTAAATTTTTTGTCTTATACTATCATCATATCATCATCTTCGTCACCTGTTTCTCTTTTCTGTTCCGAGTTGGGGGTAGCTTCAAACTTGCTAAATTATTTATTATTTCTTCTTTTCCATCCTAACAAAACCTCTCTCTCTTTTTTTTTTGTATTTACCCCAACTTTCTACTTTTCTGGAGTCACCATATTCTATGCACAATGGCACGTAGGATTACATGCAATATTTCTTTGGGAGATGCCAAATTCTACTCACTAGTTGACTTTGCTGCTCCAAGAGACTTGTTTAAGTTGTTATAATAGTCGCATTGATTTGTTCTTTGTCCCAGAGTTGTCTCGGTAAGAACCTTGTTATTGATCCTATTTTGGAGGAGGAAAGCTGTCAAGATGGAAGCTTAATGATAACTTGCATGCCTTCTCGTTATGAGATCACCCAGCTCACTGTCACCGGGGATTGGTCCACCCCAAAGATTAACGAGGTACGGTTATAATATGTTCTTGAAATTTGTAAACAACTTCAACGTGATCATTTCTTGCCTTCAAATTCCTTATGGGATGGAATTATCTTTAGTGCTCCACACAATGTCTTTTTAATGGATTCGCTATTTCTGACATGCAAAGAGATTGGACAGCTTTCTCTCCGACTAGGTTTCTTTGGGAATTTTATATGTTACTCTGTTTCAAGACTGTGATCGTTTTCTTGGATTGAATATTTCTCATGCTCTTTCTTTTCTTAATGGAATTTCTTCTGTCAAAAACTTTGGACACTTTTTTCTTCTTTTTACTGATTGCAACGAACTGCTTTGTGTTGCGTGTTGTATTTGCTTTTGCGAGTTACTTCAATTATCAGATCATTTAAATCTTTCAAACCCATTAGATAAATTTGGTAAAGGTTACCTTGCCATTTTAAACAGGTGCAAACTTGATGCGAAGAGATGATGTACATGTACCAATGCAAGTCAGTGACACTTGATTTCTTCTGGATGCAGGGAATGCAGCTATGCTTAGATGCTTGTGCAAAGCTTGCAAGGCTCATGAGGTCATGTTTGAAAGAAGCTGCTCAAGGTTCTCAAGAATAGGGTGAGAATTCTTACTAATGTCACTATACAGGCCGCATGATATGCAATTTTTACTTTTATTTTTTTCCCCTCCACACCAACATTGTGAGACAGAGAGAAGGGATTGGATGGGGGGGAGTGGTTGTCAAAGGATTCTTCTATTGATGATATATTATTTGGTTATTTCAGCAACTAATTTTGCTCGCCTTAGGCTTGTCACTTGGTTTAATGACAAGCCATGTCTAAAAATGGGATGGGAGAAAATTAAACTTGTGTTTGGTATGTTGGAAATTGGTGATACACCTAGACATAGATAAGAGAATAGGTTTCCAGGAAAGTCTATTTCCTATGCTTGTTCCCACTTTATACCAAAGGTAGCATGAGAGATAATGCAACCCCTGAGCTCTAGAAATTGATATTGATTAGAGGATATTCTTAGGTGCTGTTGGATGAAAAATTCTCTAGATGTTGAAAGCTTTAAAGAAAAGAACAAGATCATTGGCTTTAAGAAAAGCACCCAAGATATAAATTAAAAATATTGAACTTGTTAAATGGCTCATAATGGAAGAGAACATCCTATCATGAAAAGAGCAGTGATAGAATATTAGAATATTAAACGCGACTAAATAGCTAATAAAAAAGCACAACACAAATCTTCAAGCTGAAAAGTAATGGAAACTAGTCCAACGAGAAGAAGGAAAGTTGTAATAAGATCATATAATTGAAGAGTGAGGCGCGCGCGCACGTGTTTTAGAACTGATCCTAATATGCATGAGGAGTCTATCAAGTATGGATCCAGTCTGTACCCTTGGCTTCTCAAAATCCATATCTTCAGGATGGTACAACCGATCACGGTTCTCTCATTAATGCTCCCACAGGGGCTGTCACCCCTGTTTACTTCTTTTATTCTACTTATTAATTAAATATTAGTTTATTAATATATGTGGATCCATTACATCGAGTCTCAAAAATAGACTGGATTGTTTATGAAAATGTGGTGTTTATAATAGATGTATAGATTGTTATTAGCTTATTTACATTCGTGTTGAGACCAAACGTCATGTTAATGTACTTGTATGCCCCCCTAGTTCGTTCATTTCATATTACGACAATGGACCGAAATCTTTGGAAGAAAAGAAAAAAAAACGCGCCAGTTCGTTTCCATTTTCGGAACAATCAGTCCTGCATGAATCACCGATGGAAACGGTAATTCTAGAACAAAGATTTATTATTATCCCTTTTTCTAGGGCTAGCAGATGATCTCCGTTTACAGAATGTATTAATCAAGCAGGCTTAATACCGTGAAAATTGTTTGAAAAGTAATTTAAATAAACTTTTATTATTGGAAAGTAACTAAAAATTTGTTGAAAAGTCAAAAGTAACTTTTCTTAAAAAAATCATAGATTAATTTTTGTCAAATGAACATTTAAAATGGATTTTTTTGAAGTGGAAGAAAAATAAAATTACCCAAGCAACTTTTAAATCGTTAAATAGATCTGAAGTAAAAAAAAAAAAGAAAAAAGAAAAAAGAAGAGTTGTAACCAACACAATAGAATATGAAATTAGGGACATTTAGACGTTGGAAACGCCACACCGTCTCTTGTGATCCCAATAATTCAGTGTGGTTGTGAAGGATGGACTTGCTTGTTTCTGTCCCTTTCAAATGGACCATGATGTGTACCCCTCTCCCATGTCACAGACATCTCTCCCGTTCTTTTCTTTTTATTAATAAATTTAAATTCTTTATAATTACAAAATACTTAGACCACAAATTTTATAGATAATTAATCAAAACATAATTTTTATATTGAATTACAAATAACTTAAGTTGTTATATATATTTTGCTGATATAATTAATCATTTACCTCAACTTCTATCATGAAACAATTATTTTGTGAGAGAGGAGTATCATCCATACGCTTCATCTGGTTATAACTCATAATATTCACCGGGTCTCTTCTTCTTTCTTGGAAAAAAAAAAACACAACAGAACAAAACAGGAATGTATATATTGTATGTATGTATGTATGTCGGTGTGTGTGGGGATTAACTTATGATTATTTGCAATCAAGGGGCTTTCAAGTTTGAAGAATTATTAGTGGGGGCTAACAAAGGTTAGCCTTGCTGGAAAAGATTTGGCCATGATTTAAAATATTGTATGTTAAAATTTTCCTATCAATAGGACTTCATTGATGAGTGTTGTAAGTATCTTTACAAGCGTATTTTGAGTTTAAAAACATTTTCTGACTCTAAAATTTTGGGAACCCAACTTGTTTAAATTTTTGAATTAAAAAATATTAGTGGGGCATCAATAGGTTGAAGAGGGTAGGGCATATAAGATGGCTTGAAGATTAATGGAAGGTGTCCCCTCAAACACCAAATCCAGTTATTATTGAGCCAAGTCTATCGTCTTATCTTTCATTGCTTCTCAAGAAACATTGCAATAATTATTAATTTTTTTTTAAAAAAATCAATTTCTGTGATCTGTCGGTCCACTGAGCTGGATGGACTAGAATTTACGAAACCCGATTTTTAGACATTTTTAATTTATTCTTGAAAAAGAAAATCGTGTTCTGGGTTTGGGGGGGGGGGAGGCCTAACAGTAAATGATATGATCTGTACTATATTTTATATAAGAAAGGAATCCTCGGTGATAGGTCATAGATAATGTTACCTGTTCAGCCTGATTTCTGCTTGAATTTATAATCATACATCTGATCACATTGTAATTTTACGTATCTGTAGCTTTATTAAGAATCACTTTAAGATGAGCCGTAAAAACTTAAATGTATTGTTGGAGCCAGATGCTACAACTACATATCTAAGCAGAGAAAATAAAGAAAATTGGAAAGGCTGTGGGGGAAAAAGTGAAAAGGTAAAATACAGATTCAGATAAGCTGACGGTCCAGTTGTGCACCGACGGGGATATAATTATAAAATTTACCATGAGCACAACATTTTGCCTAAAAATCTTATTATTAATTGTATATAAAAACATAGCATTTTCAATGTTAAAATTTTAAATTTAGGTATTATTATTATTATTTTATTAGTAAAAGTAAAAAGTAAAGAAAACATGGGGACTGCCACTTGGAGAAATGTGAAAGTGTGGATTTGTACTTGAATTGAATCGCGGTTCGCCAGTGCTAGCTTTTTTTTTTTTTAATAAAAGGACAGGTAAACCGTATTGTATGATATGATGTGTCGTATCAATGTTAAGAAATTTATACAATTAAGGAGTGAAGTATCAAAAATATAAATTTAAAAATTTTTTATAAAAGTTTAATGAGTCAATCAATCCGCGTTTATTTGTTTTTTTTTTAAACGTCAAAAGTGACCCCCGGTGCTAGCTTTAGCTTCTGCTTCAAGGGCAGAGAAACGAGTGCAAGTCACACGTGTCAAGATTCCATGGCAGCGTATCTATCGTAGTCAACGCTTCCTCGGATCATTCACACGTTAAATTAATCGCAAGAAGCCCCTCTTTTGCGTTTTGTTCGGACCAGCCATCATATTCATATATCTCTCTCTCTCCAAACTCCAAGGCTAAGCTCTTCGGTTGGTCACACCATCATGGCCCTGCTTCTCTGGCTCTGCCTCATATATGTTGATTATTTCTTTCTCGCTTGTCATCCTTCAAAGTCATACCTGCTTTGGCTTCTCTCCTCCCCCCTCCCCCTCTCAATCTCCCATTTTTAAAGGGAGATTGACAAGACACCCCGGGAACTCCGACTTCTCGTATTCCTCTCTTGAACTCCCTCTCTTTTCTCCCCAAAATGACTCAGTTTCTGTGTGTTTAGATTCCTATTATCACCTGAGGTTGAACTGGTCTTGTCATACATGCTAATGGTAAAGACTTGAGGTGCAAATGGAAGCAGTTGTATATTTGCAGAGGAATGCCTGGGAGTCTGTCTCGCTTCAGCTCATGCAGCTTCCCTGTTTGTTGGAATACCTGTAAGTAACTACACTAACTTGTACTAACTATAGATCTTACGTCCAAAGATAGTGAAAGAAGGTACATAAACTCACTTATCTTCCATTGATATGCTAACTTCATTATCAGCATCATTGGCTTTTGATCAGCAGTGCTGATTTAGTGATTTATTGCTTGTTTCGCTTTGTTTGGAACTTGGGATCTTCTTTTTATGCTTTTTGGTGACTCTAACTTTCTTACTCTAGAAGGTGTATGCTGCAGCTTTCGTTGGTCATCTTCTGATCTTCGTTTGCACGAAAAGAATCAAAATTTTAAACTTCGTTTTCTTACTTTGATTGCATTCACTGCATTATGCATATTGAATATTTTGATCCCAAGGGTGCATGTGGGCGACTCTTTATTCAACTTAGCCTAGTGTTTGAAAGAGACGGGTCTTGATAATTGGACTTGAGATGGCGGAGAATCTTGATAGCTTCATCTCCAAGTTGATCTATCTTTTATACATGTATTCACAAGAATCCTAGTCTAAGCAGTCACGCATAGGTCGTTCCTTTTGTTGTGGCCTGAAATTTCTGCTTGGTCAATTTCACTTATGTCAAGAGTTGAGATTGCTTGAAGGTTGATTCAACACCTGATATATATAAATCCGTGTGTTACTTGTTCTCCAGATTTATTTCATTGATTTAAGAGAAGTTGACACTTCTGAAAGAAAAATATGGGCTTTGGAAATACAAGATCCGTAAGGTGTGTCTCCTTCTTTATATCTCCCAAGTTATTTAGCACCATTGACTATTCGAAATAATTTGGAAGTGAAATTGGGAGATCAAATTATACCTCAAGTGGAAAAGTTTAGATATTTGGGAGCCATTATCCAAAATGATGGCGAAATCAGTGGAGATATTTCACATAGAATTCAAGCTGGGTGGTTTAATTGGAGAAAAGCTAAAGGAGTTATTTGTGACCGTAAGGTGCCTAATAAACTTAAAGGAAAGTTTTATCGTACTGCTATCAGACCGGCAATGTTATATAGTAGTGAATGCTGGGCTCTAACGGGACAGCAAGAGCATAAAGTTGGAGTAGCAGAGATGAGAATGTTACGATGGATGTGCGGACATACACGTAAAGATAAAATTCGAAATGAGCACATACGTGAAAAAGTGAGGGTGGCACCTATTGAGGAAAAAATGGTAGAAAATCGGTTGAGATGGTTTGGGCATGTACAAAGAAGGCCAAGGGAGGCACCAGTGAGAAGAGTGGAACATATAACTTTGAGTCCGATTAAGAGAGGTAGAGGAAGGCCTAAGAGAACACTCTTGGAAGTTGTTGAACGTGATCTCTTAATTAATAATATTTCTAAAAGCTTAATAAATGATAGAGCACAATGGCGTCTTGCAATCCATGTAGCCGACCCCACCTAGTGGGATAAAGGCTTGTTGTTGTTGTTGTTGTTGTAGATCAATGAAATTCTGTGCTAGTCTTGAACAGTCATGTTCATGCTGCCAGTAATTTGTTTTCCCATAATTCACAAGCCTCTAATTTGGGTGTCATTTTAGATTTCAAGATGATCTTGAACAAGCAAAAATCCCCGTGACTAACAGTGACAACGGGATCAAAGTAAAATACAACATTGATGGAGTACAAATACCCGAGCCTAGCAGCACCAAAATGGCTCAGAAGAATGAAACAGGGAAGACTGGGAAGTTCTTGAGAGGCAGAGTATTGTCAAGGGTATTCTCAGAGGATTACGAAAGAGTGAAAAGAAAAATACTAGATCCTCGAGGACAAACCATTCACCGATGGAACAAGATTTTCTTGGTGGCATGTTTAATATCTTTGTTTGTGGACCCCCTCTTCTTTTACTTGCCAGTAGTTCAAGATGAAGTGTGCATTGAGATTGGAATAACACCTGAAGTTATCCTCACAGTCATTAGAACAGTTGCAGATTTCTTTTACATGTTTCAGATTTTCATGAAGTTTCGTACAGCTTATGTTGCGCCTTCCTCTCGAGTATTTGGGAGAGGAGAACTTGTTATCGATTCTTCTAAGATTGCATTTAGGTACTTCAGGAAGAGTTTCTGGTTAGACTTTGTTGCTGCTCTGCCTCTTCCACAGGTAAGTTTCTATCGTTTTCGTTCTTGTTAAGTGGGACGATGGTGCTTAAATCTGGTAAATTTCTGTTTCATTCTGTTTATTCCAGGTGTTAATTTGGCTTGTCATCCCCTTCCTCAGGGGTTCTACCATGGCAAATACAAAAAATGTTCTTCGATTCATCATCATCTTTCAGTATCTCCCTAGGCTGTTTCTCATTTTCCCACTTTCATCACAATTGTAAAGGCTACTGGAGTTGTAACGGAAACAGCATGGGCTGGTGCTGCTTACAACCTGATGCTTTACATGTTGGCAAGCCATGTAAGTATATTCGGAAACTTCTGCTCAAAAAGGAATTCTTGTTTGATAAAAAAAGAAAAGTGCAATCTGTCTTGTTCACACAGATTAGAGGAAAGGGTCGAATGTGGATCAAATTTTGAACAGAAAGGTGCATTTTGAAACAGAGTTGCTTATAATTTCAGCTGAGTTTTTCAGGAGGTTGATTTTCAAACAAATATATACCCAGCTGAATTAAATTGAATTTTTATTTTTTTCCCCTAAGATTGATATTTTTTCCCTAAGATTCAACTTGCAAAAATCCTGCCACAGTCAACAGTTGGTCCCATCATTTACCAATAAATGCCTGCACTCTGCCTTACAACTTTTAACAAAGGCCTTAATATGGATGAAATCCAGAAATGGTCTTCCAAAAGTTATCCAAGGAGAGGATGCAATGTTTTTGCTAACTTTTTATGTTCTCTCTTCATTTGCTAAATGGCGGACCTTGAAAATCAAAATGGCTTCTCGATTTTGAGAAGAATGTTATAAACTCAATCATGTAAACCATTTGATTCATATATTGAAAGGAAGCTTTTTTAACTCAACTTACTCATAGTTCTCGATTTTGTTGGGGCTAATCTTGAAAAGGGTTTAGGTGCTATGTGGTATCTTCTATCAATTGAGCGACAGGAAGCATGCTGGAGAAGTGTTTGTGATCAGGAGAAGTCATATTGTCAATATGGATATTTTGACTGCCACAGGGTCAACGAAGCCAGTAGGGTCGCCTGGTTTATTGCAAGTAATGTCACAAATTTATGCTCACCTGATGTCAACTTTTATCCATTTGGCATATATGGTGATGCGGTGACTTCTGAAGTCACAAGCTCACCATTCTTTAACAAGTATTTCTACTGTCTTTGGTGGGGCTTAAGAAATCTGAGGTAAGCTTTTAAGTTTTATCACCTTACTTTCTTCATGACTTTCTTGAGTTTCATTTTTACGCGTCCAAAATGAGGATCATCATTCTTGGACTTTACACAAAGTAAATGCAAACATCATCGTGAAGTTTTCCAACGGAAGGGCAAGCTTAATATAGCTCACCTCACACTTTAGATCCTTGGTTTAGCTGTTGTGATAAGAACAACGCCAGAAATATAACATCTAATTGTTAATAGTTTTCCAAAATACAACATCTCTATTCTCTAGTTCTTTAATATCTTGTTATGGAAAATATAGCCATGTCTTCTTGCCAAGAAGCTTCAAACCTTTCTTTTTTTCTTTTTTTTTGGGGGGGGGGGTGTGGGAGGTAAGGATTTTTCTTTTTGTCCTTTCCACTTGCAAGTAGGGCAAATATTCTGTTCAGAAGCATCTTATCACGCTGATTAGAGTATTAATTCTCTGCTCATTGATGAGTGCAGTTCTTTAGGACAGGATCTTCTCACTAGCACTTTTGTTGGAGAAATAATGTTTGCCATTGTAGTTGCAACCCTTGGATTGGTTCTTTTTGCCTTGCTTATTGGTAATATGCAGGTAAGTGCATTTTATTTGTTTCTATTGACACATAACCACGTTGCCATGTGATATATAAGAATGCTGATTGACAAAGAACTCAACATTTTCAGACATACCTTCAATCAACAACCGTCCGCTTAGAAGAGTGGAGGGTCAAAAGAACTGATACAGAACAATGGATGCATCACAGACAGCTACCTTCGGAACTAAGACTAGCCGTAAGGAAGTATGATCAATATAAATGGTTGGCCACCCGAGGAGTTGATGAAGAGGCTCTTCTCAAAGGACTTCCAGTGGATCTTCGAAGAGACATCAAGCGCCACCTTTGCCTCGACCTTGTCCGAGGAGTAAGCCCATGTTAAACCTCAAGTTCCACTTGTTCATAAGATGTAGTTCTCAATCCATATGAAGCCTATCTTGCTCTAGAAGGGATTTGATGCTATGTCATTTTCTCTTAATATCATTGATGCGGAGATATTTAAGATGCTAGGATTTGTTACACACTACACCAGTATCGGAATTGCCCACTATAATCTAATATATATTTAGTCTATCTTGTTCAGGAATATCATGTGTGATATCTTATTCCTTAATATTCTACAGTATGATAGTCAACATGTCTAGATGTATAAGATTATTGTAAATGAAAATGCTGGTATACTAGGGCTGTAAATTATACTGATATTTCATTGACAGGTCCCATTATTTGACCAAATGGATGAGAGGATGCTAGATGCAATATGTGAAAGGCTGAAACCTGCATTGTGCACCGAGGGCACCTATCTTGTTCGCGAGGGCGATCCAGTGGATGAAATGCTCTTCATAATAAGAGGCCATCTGGATTCCTACACCACCAACGGCGGCCGAACCGGGTTCTTCAATTCATGCCGGATTGGTCCGGGCGATTTCTGCGGCGAGGAAATACTGACATGGGCATTGGACCCTCGACCGAGTGTCATACTTCCATCTTCCACTAGAACAGTGAAGGCCATCTCCGAAGTAGAAGCTTTTGCGCTTATGTCAGAGGACCTCAAGTTTGTAGCGTCTCAGTTCAGAAGGCTGCACAGTAAACAGCTGAGGCACAAGTTCAAGTTTTACTCGCACCAGTGGCGAACATGGGCTGCATGTTTCGTCCAAGCTGCATGGAGGAGGTATAAGAAGAGGAAGGAACTTGCTGGACTGAGGGCTAAAATGAACCAAACTGATGATGCTGAGCCTGAAACACCAAATTCTGGCTCGTCAGGCTTAGTCGCATATGGATCGAGTAAGGGTAGGAGCACCGGAAAAGGGGTTAATATGTGTTCTGAGGCAGCTTCTGGGGTTGTAAGCTCTCTGCAGAAGCCTGAAGAACCAGACTTTACTGTTGATGAGTAATAAATAACAAGTGTATATTGTTTTAATTAAGGCCTCCCTCATTATTATTATTATTATTGTAGTCATTAGTCATTTTTCCTATGAATTACAGGATTTAACAGATTGAACTGAACTAGCCTCGGTAATTAGTCCTAGTAGTCGTGAAAGATGAGTTGGGTGGAAGTAGTACAAGCGGATATTAATTAGTTTAAGAGATTTGTGGCTCAACAATGCATTTAGAATGCTTGATACTGGAAAAATGGTTTAAAATTATTTTTTTTTAAATATGCAAATAATTATTAGATCTTGCAAAATTTCATAATTTTTCTTAAATTTTTAAGGAACTTTTTAACATAAATGATTTTTAGTAAAATAAGTAAAATGCTCTAGTTTAAATAAAAAAATAAATATCAGTAATTATTTTAATTTAAGTAATGATTGCTTTTCTTTTAACAATAACTAGAATAAAATAAATAATTACAACTTTTTCAATGCAAATTACTACTTTAGTAATAAAAAATTATACAAAAAAAGTTATAATTGTTTGTTTTATTTTAGTTATTACTAAAAAAAATAATTATTACTTAAATTAAAGTAATCACAGGCATCTATAACACTTCGACTATAGTGACTCAAAAATTTGCACAAGAAAAATTATAATTACTTGTTTCATTTTAGTTATTGCTAGTGACATTGCTGTTGAATAACACTAAAATAAATAAAAATTAAATTTTACAATAAAGTATAACCTAGGTCATCTCTTTAAAAATCAATGAATTAACTATTTGAATTATAATTGTGAAAAGCTAAATAATGAGGGAAATTTATTTGTGATTAAATTAATTTAAAAACTAAATTAAAATTCAATAATTAAATATTAAAAAATCTAATTAAAGTTTAAGACTAATTTGTGATTGATCATGCTAAAAAAATTAATTTTTTATAAAACTAAAAATCAAACTATACAATAAATTAAGAAGCCACCGCTTAAAGAAGAGAAAGACAAAAAGCACTGCATCTTAACTTCGTTTTCCTCTCGTCCCCATCTTACTCCTCTATTCCTTCCTTCATATATATTCAATTCAATGTGACCATTTTTGTGTGTCACATGCCTCGTCTCTATCACGAGTTTTATATTGGAGAGCTTTATAAATAGTATTAGGTTTATAAGTGTAAGGAGCTCTTCATTCTAAGAAGTTAATCTTTTGGAATGAACTCTCCCTTTATACTTGTATTTGTTACATTAATACTTTCATGAAGAGGTCGATGTCATGAAAAGGACTACTCACAAAGGGTTCTGACAAATAGGAGGCTAAGTGAAGTGTCATATAATAGAGTCATTGAAGACATCAACTCTTGACGAAGTGGCATTATCATGAGTCTCACATCATGGGCCCTTTCATTTAGTGTAGGGTTTTTAAGTGTAAGGGACTCTTTCACCCAATAAGTTAGTCTTTTGAAATGAGCTCCCCTTTTAGCCTAGTGCTCATCAAAGTCTCTTCTTAAATGAAACTTAAAAATTTAATAAAATAATAAAAATACTCTAAATAACTTTAATTAAAAACTACATTAAATTACCCAAGATGAATATAAACAAAATTTAAAAAATTTAATTCTTGATTTGATCTTCAAGCATGCTCATATTTTTTTTATCCAAAATAATGTCTATCAATATTTTTCAAATGAATTTAAAACATTTGTACAAATAAAAAAATTAAATAGCAAATATGTAAAAATATCAAAAATATCATTTATATTTTAAAATCAAGATTTAGATAGTTAAAATTTTAAAATTGAAGATTGGCTAATAAAATTAAATAATATCTAATTAAACTCAATTAGCCTTAAATAAATATTTAAAAATTTAAATTAAAAGAATAAAAATATATAAAATTATCATTTATTAGTAAAAAAAAAAGCAATCACTAATATTTTACAGGCTAAATTATATATTACTTCCTTAAATTTTGAACCATGTACACATAACTTCTTTCACCTTTAAAACTTTATAATTCCATCAACTCTAATATTCATGCATATAACTCTATATGATTAATTTTATATATTAATTATCTACACATAACTTAAAGTTTAAGAGATTATATGTATATCACTTAAAATTTGAGGGTTTAAATACACACAAATAATAGAGTCAGTAACTCGGGCAGGCCAAACTTATTCAGGTTGAGCTCAGTTTGGGCCGTGCTTATTTGGATCAAGCTTGAAGTATCTTAGCCACTCAAAAAAGCTCATATAGCTAAGCCTGACTCTAACTTTTTTTAATTAGGTTCGGATTTGGCCAAAATTACTAACTCTATATATATAGAGAGCTGAAAATTTTAAATGTCAAGCTTATTCGAGTCAGAGTCAATGCAGGCTTGGTTTATTCAGATCGAGTTTAAAGTATCCTACCCTTTTAACCCATATAGCCAAGCTTAGTGCTGACTTTTTTTGGGCGGGTTTGAGTTGGCTCGTTGAGCTTGACCTAAATTATCAACTTTAAAAATAAAGTCTGAGAGGTGTATAATTAATGGCTAGGAGTTATTTACATAAATTTAAAAATTCAAAGAGGTTTATTATTAAGTTTTAAAGGTTAAAGGGAGTTATATATATATATGGTTCAAAGTTTAAGGGAATTGAGTGTAATGTAGCTTATTTTTTAGGGTAAAGTAGCAAATTTAGTTACAAACTATTTTTTAAAGAGCATCTGGTAGCATAAACTATCAGATAGTACAAAATAAATCATGAATTTTAAAAAATAAAGTATCTAATAGCCTACCGTTAACTTCAACTAATGGATGTTATATGGGGCCCATAATAACACATGGCACGACACAAGCACGACACGCCAGCATAGTAAATGTATAAATTTAGCCACAAACTATTTTCTGAGGAGTATTGAGTAGCCTGTATAATAAAAAAAAAGGGACCATCCAACACTTTCCACTCAATTTTGATTAAACACCGTTTATTTTCATACTTATGAGGCCCGTAAAGCATTAATATCTCTAATCTTCTTGCCTTTGTTCTCAATCTGAGTCTGAGAAGAAGAGGTTCAAAGAATTCTTATCTAAAGACACTCATGAAGACGAAGCTAACAAAGAAGAAAAAATAATTCATTATTAAATTAAGCTAGAATCAAGATTCTCTTATATGTAGTAAAATCATGCTTATACTTCATTGGCATTGTCCTTATGAATGTTTTCAAATAAGAACTCATAGAACCTCTTCTTTTTTTAGAACTTATATTGAGAACTAAGGCAAGAGGATTGGAAAGATTAATACTTTATGTGCTTAATAAGTATGAAAATAAATGATATTTAGTCAAAATTAAAGGAAATGTGTTGGACGGTCTATTTCTTTTTTAGTATAGGCTACCTAGTGCTCCTCAAAAAATAGTTTGTGACCAAATTTACACATTTACTATGCTGACGTATCGTGCCCGTGTCATGATACATTTCATTATGAGTCCTACATAACGTCTGTTAATTAAAGTTAATAGCGGGCTACTGATGCTCCATTTTGAAAGTTCGTTATTTACTTTGCACCATTTGATAGTTTAGGCTATCAGATATCCCTCGAAAAATAATTTGTAGCTAAATTTGCTGCTTTACCCTATGTTTTATTTTAAATTGGAGGTATTTTAGTTATTTTATAAAAAAATCATTAATATCATAAATGTCCTTAAAAACTTGAGAAGAATTAGGATATTTTATAAGATTATTCGTATATTTTTGAGAGATTTTCATGCTATTTTCCCGTAATTATTTAAATTGCTATGAGAAATGCTATATATGATCAATGGGTTATAAATTGGCCACAGAGAAATCCTCTAACGCAGAAAACTGGACAAAAGCTTTAGACCCTCTGGTCATTCATTCTTGATTTATTCTTCTTCTTCTTTGGCTTATAAATTGCTAGGGGAAATGCTATATATGATCGAAGGGTTATAAATAAGCCTAGTCTTACCTGAAAAAACCTAACTATATAAATAAGCTTAACCTGTCTATTTAAAATTTGGTTTAAATTTAACTTATTTCTACACATACATGATATATCAAAATATTTTTTTACCATTTAAAAATAAATTATTTTCATATATTTTTAATAGTCATGTGATGTGTGAATTGATTATATTTTGACTATTTGAATGTACCACATTTGGCTACTTAGCAATGTTGAGAATTTGGCTGCCGGGAGGATCCGGTTCCCGTGACAACATGCCAATAGACCGGAGGGAGAAGATGATGATGATGATTATTATTATTATTATTTATTTATTTCACTTTTTGAATCTTTTTTTAGGTGGCTGAGCTAAATAAAATTAATGTTAAAAGAAAAAAATGTGTTGAAACTTTGGACACCTGGCATTTTAAAAAAAATTTTGAAGCATTTTTTATCTAAAAGTTTCATAAAAAAAAATATTTTCATCCTACCATTAAAAATTAAAAATATTAACTGTTAAACTGAAATTTAACTGAAAAATCTTTTGCATTTTTTTCTCATTCTTTCTGTGTTTAGTCTTCAATTTTTGTTCTCTATTGATTTTTTTAACTTATTTTCTTCTAAAAATGAAAACAAAGACAAAAAAATGTAGAAATGAAGGAGGATAAAATCATAAAATACTCTAATAAAATTTTAGTTAACAGTTAACATTTCTTACATTTAATAATGGCAAAAATATTTTAAAAGTTTAAATGCTAACGCTTCTTAAAAAAAAAAATTTAAGATATTTTTATCATTTAACTCAATAAAATTATAAAATGAACAACATCAATAACGAGCAGTCTTATCAGATGAGATTAATTATATAAATTGAAGGGTATCAACAATGAAATCAAATTATAAAAGGAATTTGCTACTACTAAAGAAGTCATTTGCGCATTTGTGTAGGGCTGAAGAATACGAAATGATGCAGCGTTGAAGCTAGAATTATCTTTTGCCCGGTAAATGCGCATTCAATTTCAGTGTCAGCCGAGACGCACAATTTGCAGCTATAATTGACTTTCCAATACACAATCGCACTTGATAGATATCCTTTTTTTAAAAAA